CTCATGGCTGCAGAACTATGTTTATAAGGAAAAGCTCTAGCTTGGTTTCAGTAGAGAGAAGCTAGGTATCCAATCTATTCCTGGGGAAAATTAAGGATTGTTTATTGGAATATTTCAGAGCCATTCGAGAAGGGGACCTCCACGAGTAGTTATATACCTTGACTCAAGAGGGGATTGGCATGGAGTATCGGTAGAAGTTCGAGCTGCTTTCAGGTAGGCTGAGGGGAATTTATGAGGAAGAGTCGGAAGGGAATTTTATGAAGGGCCTTAAGGAAGGCATCCGAGCTGAGCTCAGGGTGTTGAGGCCTAGAGGGTTGAGAGATACAATAGAGCTAGCATAAAGGGTGGAGAAACATCAAAGAGAGAAGACCATCCGAAGCACCACATTAAAATAGCTTACAAGAACACCTCTATGACCTTGGCACCAAGGACCCAAACAGTGTTATTTCATAGGGAAGTACCTAAGGAGATGAGCCCTGGAGTTCGTCCTAGAAGCAATTTCAAGCCCCTCATAGAAGCAGAAGTGCCAAATAGGCGAGTGAAAGGGCTATATTTTGGGTGCGATGGAAGATTTACTCTCAGGCATAGGTGTAAGAGTCGAGCCCTTCAGGCCTTGATGGTTTGCGAAGGGGAAGAAGAGAGCGGGGACGAGCAGGAGGATTTCTTGGAGGAGATAGAACAATTGCATTTAGATATGGCGTAGGTGTTCTTGAACTCTGTGGTGGGATTTACCCCAAATCACACTAGGAAAGTAAGGGGGAAAATTGGAGAGCAATCCGTGATAATTTTGGTGGATATATAGTGGAGCTACTCACAACTTAATCTCAAATTGGGTGGTGGACCAATTGAGGTTAAAGTTAGTGAAGACTGAAGGATGTGGGGTGATGCTAGGAACAGATAAGATAGAGAGGAGCAGGGGGATATGTAAAGGGTGGTGCTAACCTTGCAGGGCATTCAGGTGGTGGAGGCTTCCTTCCCCTGGACTTGCGAAGTACGAATGTGATTATGGGGATTTAGTGTCTACAAACCATGGGGGATATGAAGGTAAACTAGAAATCATTAACAATGGAGATACAAGTGGAGGGGAAAAAATTAGTGCTTAAAGGGGATGATGGCTTATGAAAGACCATGGTATTCTTAAAAATCATGCTCGGGACAATCCAGGATGCAGGTCGAGGCTACTAGGTAGAGTTGCAAAGCATAGAAGGGGTCTAGGAACAGAAGACAAGGAAAATTCAAGTGGAGGAAAAATTCCAGTGGAGGCCCAGCAGACTCTGTAACAATATCAGGATGTATTTCAGCCACCAGTTGGGTAACCACCGCCTCGAGAGCATGAGCATGCCATCAACTTGAAAGAAGAGACTTCTCCCATCAACGTCAGAACACAATGTTACCCCTAAATATAGAAAGATGAGATAGAGAGACTAATCAGGGAGATAATGGAAGAAGGTATCATCAGACCTAGTGTGCATCCTTTCTCTAGCCCAGTACTATTGGTGAAAAAGAATGATGGCAGTTAAAGATTCTGTGTAGATTACATGGCTCTAAACAAGGAAACAGTGCTAGATAAGTTTTCATTCCCGTGATAGACGAGCTCTTATATGAGTTATTTGGAGCTATGTTCTTCTCCAAAATAGATTTGAAGTTGGGATACCATCAAATCAGAATGAATATAACAAATATTCGCAAGACAGCCTTCAAGACACATGAAGGACACTACAAGTTCCTAGTGATGTCTTTTGGCCTCACCAATGCCCCAGCCACCTTCCTGTCACTTATAAACTGAGTGTTCTAGCCACATCTCTGAATGTTTGTCTTGGAATTTTTTTATGACATTTTGATATACAGCAAGACAAAGCAAAACATTTGGAGCACTTCAAAACAGTAACGAAGACCTTGAGGGAGCATATGTTATTTTCCAACTAGAAAAAGTGCACATTTGGGCAGATAGAGTATTTAGAGCATGTGGTGTCCAGAGAGGGGGTGTCAGCTAATCAATCCAAGATTCAGGTCATGGTGGACTGGCCTCTTCCTAAGAATTTGACAGAGCTGCGGGGATTCTTAGGGCTCACCGGTTACTACCAGAAGTAGTCAATAGGGGTGTGGAGACATACTTGCCTTGTTTCATATCTTACACAATAAAATTATGGGCCAAATGATTGTCATGGGTAAAGTATTGGTACAATGCATCCTTCCACACTGCCACCCATATGACTCCCTTCAGGATCCATTATAGAAGAGACCCACTCCATCTAATACACTACGGGCAGAGCACTACACCAATATCTAGTGTAGATTAATACTTAGAGAAGAGGGGCAGAATATTAGCAAAACTCAAAGGGCATCTGTTGAGGGCTTAATAACTTATGAAAAAGAAGGCAGATAAACACAGACAAGAAGTACAGTTCGAGCCCAGGGATAAAGTTTATGTAAAACTAAGACCATATAGGCAAAAGACACTAGCAAAAAGGAGGAATGAGAAGTTATCCCCGTGATATTTCGGACCCTATGAGGTGATGAAGCGTATTGGGGTAGTAGCCTATCGTCTAGGGTTACCAGCAGCCTCAGTCATCCATCAAGTATTCCATATATCACAACTGAAGCACACTATCGAAGTTCACACACCCTCTTCCTTGCTATCGGCAACTTTAACTGAGGACATGGAAGTGATTTTGGAACCTATGGAGATCAAGGGAGCATGGCAAGGGATGACAGGAGCAAAGGAGGTCCTTGTTCGATGGAAGGATTTACTTGAATATGAAGCTACATAGGAACCCTGTTAGATGATCAAGAAACAATTTTCATCCTTCCACCTTAAGGACAAAGTGTAATTCGAGGAGGGGAGTATTGATACACTAGAAGAGGAGACAGAAAAGAGATGGGTGGACCAAGCAAGATCCAAGGCGGAGATTTTGGCCCCCCTTGTAGGGCCCACTAAAGAATTAATTCATTATGTTGAGGTATTAAATTGAGGATAAATTAGGAAGATTTTCTTAATGAATTTAAGGTGGAAAGATTTCATAATTGAATTTAAATTAAAGAGGAAAACTAATAAGGAAACAAATCCGTTTTGGAGGTAATTTGAGAGCTTATTTAAGGAGGAGTCTAAGATTTATTTTGAGGCAAGCATGTCTTAAGTTTATGATAGTTTTCTGTAGTTTTTCTTATGTGAGGGCTTTTTAGCGGCGACTAGGTTGTTTGGGAGAGCCAATCTATACCTCTAATTGTAGATCGCTTGTATATTTTGTTTCTTGTTGTGTTATTAATAAAAATCAGCCACTATTCCTCCTAATTCTGCTATTTTCGACTTGTTTTTTGAGGATTTCCTGTTGTGGTTTGCTAAAATTGACTCCAGACTTATTAGAAGGTAATGCATCTCAAATGAAAATGAGAGAACCATCGCAGTGGTGCTTCCTTGAAGGTGTTGAAGAGGAGTCTACACTTCACTACATCACTACTTGGGTTAAGAAATTTGGTCTACTCAAAGTGAACAATGTGGTCGACTAAGTCTAACTTGTCTCAATAGGAATTCAAAACAGATATCTTGAAATAAAACAACAATTGCCCTACACAATCTACACAAAAAAGGACATCTGTAGGCTAGGCCTAATGCTTTGTTGAACGATGGGTGGACAAGACTCTATGATACCCTTCTCTAGAAGGTATGGCTCAACATGAGATAAATTCGAGGCAACATGTCTAGGGCTAAGATAGTGACAGCGGATGGGAGAGGCGTCAGTTTAGTGCTATGTAAGAGTAACTTGGGAGAGAGCTCAAAGATCCTTTGAATACTCATCCTCAAATGATCTTCCATGTGATGCAATTGCTTAGAGGTGCCATAGTCATTGTGTCACTTGCTTAATAAGGACGTGACTTTTCCCTCTCTGTGGGATGGTCCATGACATGGTTCTTTGTCCAAGGCATTTGTACACTCACCGCATCTCAGTGGATGTTGGATTTAATATTGTCCATAAAAGAAGTTAGACACTACTACAGATACAAATCAAGCCCATAGAGTAGAGAGATGCTTAGAGAGATTTAAAACAGACATAACTTGGGCCAAAAGCATCGTATTATCATACTTGCACTCAACCAACCACCCCATATTAATAGGCAAAATCCTAAGGTTGATGATATAGAATTGGTTATGCGTTGTATGACATATAAAATACATCACCTCAATATAATTAATTGTGTGGCAGGTAAGTTTAACTTATGTTTATATGTTAAGTAGGAACTTCAGGAAAGATTCACATCGAGGGAGACGGAATACTTCTAGCAAGAGTTGTTAGTCAGCTAGCAAATAATTAGAGTGGGCAGTCGAGTTCTTTAGATGAATAGCCTTGACGATAAGCGATTTTGTGAATCTATCGTTGTGTTCTTTATTGTGGATTGACTAAGGTCTAGCTTGTGCTCAATTTATGTCATTTCGAACCTAGGTGGTTCAAGAGCCTTTAGGTGAATTCTAGCTTGGAGAGTTATGAGTTGCAAAACGTTCACAATCAGTGACTTGTTGAATCTAATTCAGGGTTTTTTTAAGACTTAATTAAACTAAGCTGGATGAATTTGGATATACCCCTGCACTAACAAACAAAAACAGAAAAGGAAAACAGTCATGTTCATTCCAATGGATCTAATAATGCTAGAGCATGAATCTGAACTTATGGAGAAAAGGTCTCGATTTCCTACCATTTCGCGCATATATTAGAAAAGGAGAATAGTCTCCATTGCCTATGTCAACTTGTTTGGCATATTGTCTGCAGTTACCAATTAACGAACAAAAAAAAAATCAAACTCCTGATCTATTTTTAACAGGAAAATGAACAAACGATGCACTGATCGTATCTTGTTTTCATCAAAAAGCCAAATATTTTGATCCCGATTGCTCTGGTCCGCTACTTGCCGAAGCAGAGTGAGCTTTATGCAGGACCCTCATCCGATGACACAGCAACGAAGTAATTAGAAACAGCGAAAGAGAGAGTGAAGTCGGTAGGACTTACTATCAGGTCCGCCAAGCTTGGAGACGGCGTCGACGAAGCGGTCATGCAGGTCCGGCGTCCACCGAAGCCGCGGTTTCGGGTCTCTTGATAGCGCCGCGGCCGCAGCTTCCGTCGATCCGTACTGGTAGCTCTTCTCAATATGCACAAAACTCTCGAACATTGTTCTTGATCCCTATTATGTTCTTCTCTAACCGTCTTTCCTAATAACTTCAGTCAGAGGGAAATGAGCTGAACCGATTCCAGATTCGTTACCTCCATGATCGAAATCTCAAATGAATCATTGTGAGATTCCAAATTCTAAGAAAGAAAGAATAGCGCTGGGTGGGAATAAGATGGTAGCAAGTGAAGGAGAAAAGGAGTGGAGACGGAGCGAAGCAATCGCCTTCCACGAAGAATCGAATCTTTGAAAACGTAAAGAGCAGGAAAAGAACAGGTTCGATTCAAGAAATAAAAGCCCGCGGCCACCGCAGTCGTTGTATTCCTATCGACCTTTGTTCGGGAATTATGTAATCATAATTTCAATAAAGATGCTCCTGGGGACTATTTGGTTCGAGACAAAAAGGAGTCTAAAACAATTTCAATATAAAATTTTTAAAACTACTATTTTTGTTTTGAAGCAAAAGAAAATTTTTGAAATATTTGAAATTCATTTTCTAATTTAATTTTGATTTATTTAAAAATTATTGAAATTTTGATAGATTTTCAAATACACTATAAATTATCTGTCATTATCATTGTCGTCATCCACCATCTTCATCAGCCACCACTCATAGTTGCATGTCATCCGCCGCCGCGGTCGTTGATCATTGTCTCTGGTGCCCATCGTCCATCATTAGTGCATTGCTAATCGCTACCATCCACTATCATTATTGAATTTTACACTGCATTTATTTTACAACAAGTCCATTTAAAAAAAAAGGTAAATATTTATCTTTATTTTATACTCGTCAAAATAAAATAAAATATTTTAAATACACTACATTGCATTTTTTAAAAACAAATCAAATTGCCGTTAATGAGTTTTAGCTTAAGTTTATTTCAAAAGCAAAATATTCAAAAAAAAATTGAATAGAATAGTGGAGATGAATCTATTTCTATGATATTTTTTTATGAGACTTAATAATATGTTTTGAATCTATCGCATTTGGATAATAAGACATGCGACAGTTAGGATAGCCTCCATAAAAATGATTTGAAATTTTACTAGTAATCTTGATGGATCTAGTAACTACCAAAAGATAACTAGTTTTCCTTTTGACAATTCCATCTTGTTTAGGAGTATATCTACAAGAGCTTTTGTGTGAAAATTTTTTGTTGAATAAGGTAATCCCAAGAATTTAATAAGAATATTCTTTTTTTATAGTTGGTCATGAGGACTCAATTTTAGATTTTAAAATGATTTGATATACAGCATCAACATCATCAAGTCTTTATCCTACTACGCAAGGTCGACTACATGTCCTTTTTCTCCATTGTGTTATATTAAGAGTCGAATTCTCATTTAAATCTAATAAAAACTGTCATTTCTAATCTTTTCTAACTAAGTATTTTTAGGTCTATCTCTAGCTTTTTTAATATAAGCCAAATCTAATACATACTCTTCTAACCAGGTCATCAGAAGGCTGTCATTTTATGTGACTAAACCATCTAAGGAGATTCTCTCTAATCTTATCTTCCACTGAATCTACTCCAACATTTTCACGTATATGCTCGTTTTGTATCCTTTGTATCTAAGAGTAAACTCACTCATCCACCAGAGCATCCTCATCTCTGCAATACTTAACTTAATATTATGCTTCTCTTTTAATGGTCAATATTATGCACCATAAAGTATTGCAAGTCTCACCGCGCGCCATTTTATAGAATTTTCTCTTAAGTTTAAGGGGGACTTTTCTGTCACAAAATGAGTTTTAAATACAAAGATAAAATTTCTTAACAATATGATATATTTAAGATTTGTCTTCAATTAACAAAATCCAAATAATTATAATGTGATTATACATAAAGGATATGAATCACCTAGACCTGGAGATATTTGCAAAAAAAAAAAAAAAATCTTAATATCACTATGAATGAGAAAAAAGGTTGAGAGGTTTTATAGGGATGGCTATGATAGGTACTCTTGACATATTTTGATAGTTAACAAGTTTCCAACCTAAAAAATTCTAAATTTTTATTATTTTAAAAGCATGGTAGTAATTTTTTGAGATATATAAATCTTAGATGATCAAGACATGAATATGTCATAATATGGTTGATTTTTTGTAAGATAAAATACATAATGTGCAATGTAGAATTATTTTCATAGTTCGAAAGGTAGAGTCTTGCATTTTCCTAAACAATGTCAATCACCTTCATCAATTTGGCATCCTAGAATTCACAACGAGTATGAAAAAATTAATAATGTAATTCATGTTCCTGATAAATTTGCTTATGGATATGAGTTTGAAAGAAAGTTTAGAAACTAATAAAATTGAGTTCATGGATATGAAATATGATATTTTGATTCTCATAAAACTTGTGGAGGTAATAGTCTATCAACAACTTTTACTTGGAATTCCTTAGAATAAGGACATATTTTGTGAAAAAGGAAGATATATTTGATAATGTGATATCATGCCCTTGAGTCAACAATCCATGATTGGTTATTGTAAATAAGTTTACAATAATACCTTTTGGAGAAATTGATCATATGCTAATATCAGTATTAATGAGTTGGTTTGGAGTTAGTTGAACACCTTTTCTAGTCTCTTTCTACTTTTGATTGAAGAATCTGAGTGTGGATTTAGGTGGTGGCTTCAGAAATTAATTGTTAGTTGTTGAGAATCCCTACTCGTGCTTCCCTTGTTATTAGTTGCTGAGTTTCTTGTGTAGTTTCCATTAAGCTTCTTTTGTAAGTTCAAACTTTTGACAATGGTCACACTTGGTGGTTTTTCTTCCTTGAGAAACTTTCATTTTTTATGTATGCATAATTGAGAGGTAAATGCAAAGTTTTTTTGGAGTGGCTAAAGTTCCTTGGTTTCCTATCATTATCTTTTTAATTTTTATTCATCACAAGAAGGATTTTGGATATCCATTAAACTATTTTTCAATATTTAATTGCATCACGAGGACATTCAATCTAGTTCTTCAAAAACATCCAATTGCAACCAATACCTTCTAAAAGTGTTATAATTTTAAGTAATGAAAAGATCACCTAATCAAAGATCATAGAAGACACTTTTAATTTCAAGTAACATGGGGGTATTTTTATTATCCGATTAAGTTTTTTAAGATATCCCCTATCTCTTTTATCATAACATAAAATATGAAATTTCATGAATTTTATTTTCTAATGTATTAATGAGCAAATATATATTCATGTTATTTTCAATCACTATGTACTGAATTTTGGATCTTCTTCTTAAGGAGGAATGGCAACATAATTGAGCCAACAGCCCTTATTTTTTCCTCTTCTGAATATTATAATTGATTAAGTTCATTTGAAGTTTTGTTTATTCAATGCTCTATGAGCATTAAATTTAGGGAGAAGCTTTGATATTTACCAATATAGCCATGAATCAATAGCTCATTACTAGAGGTAGCATTGAAGGAAAAGCTTTTATCAAATGTCATTTCATATTTGACCATAGCTATATTTAAGAGAAAAGAATCAAATCAATTTAAGATCCATATGAATGTTAAATTGCGGGTAGATTGCAGGTAATTGAAACACAAAGTAAAATCTAAGCTAACTCAAAATGGAGAGAAGCAACAATACTTTCTTATAATATTGTCAATCTATTTATCGCGCTCGATGCGTATTGTTTTTCAATCGGCCAAGCCTTTTCATTTCACAGCTCAAGCTTAATGACTAAGTCAATAGAAAGACCTCATACTTATATTAGTTGCATTATAGGTGTGCCATCTCTAGAATCAGTATACGATTCTACTTCTTGTGACCCAACCTGATTTGAGGTAATATACTATTTTTTCGTATTTAGAACTCTTTTATGTGTCTGAGCATATAAAAGTATGTACATGTTCTGAAGCTTGTCTCGGTGGTCTGTTTGCATGTTCAAAAAATCTAAAAATTTTCCCCTGGGGCGTTGCGGTGCTAAGGATGGTGTGCCATGGCACTAGGGTTGGCACCATGGTGGAGTTGAGCTCTCTAGAATTTTGGAATTAATTCATGTCGCGGTACTGGGGTAATGCTACGACACTTGATCGATTGAGCGTCACAGCACTAGGCCATAAAAATATCATTTTCCAATATTTGATTTATTCCATTTCCCTCAAATGTGTTGGCTAGAGAGAGAGAAAAAGAGAGACTGTTTTGGATCGCTTTGGGTCTTTTTTAGTTGTTGACCCAGTTCTAAAAATTGTCCAGCTCGAGGCAAGTTATATTTAGTCTATCTCAATTTTTAAAAATAAAAAGTTTTGAAAATTTTTATTTAATATATAATTTCATTAGCAAAAAATGAAGATAACTTGTTTTCTACAAAACTTTTGTCACATAACTTTATGTATGTTATAGATGTGACAGTTTTGAATATTTAAGTATTTATTCAAGAAAATTTTCACAGAGTAAATTAAAAATTGTTGGGGTTTTGAAAATTAAAAAAATATTCTGATTTCTAAAAACAATGTTTTACAATTAAATAAAGCTTTAAAGCAATACTCTGAATAATCTCTAAAAATTTGGTTATTTTTTGAAACTCTAAAAATTTGGTTATTTTTTGAAGCAATATATTTTTTCTCAATGGAACATTATGCTACCTACCGTTAAAGCATTTTGTTTATTTCTGAAATGGGTAAATTTACACTTTTTTTTACTATAATGCAATAAATTATATGATTATTTGATTGAAATGGAGTGATTCTAAGGATATCTAGTGTAGGTGGAGGAAGTTCTGATTTGGTGCTAAGTGCACATTTTAGTGTGGATGGCACATTATGGTGATATATGCGTACTCTATTTATTAGGAGTCATAAAGGTCAGAATTTTTTGAATTTTGTCTGATGAGAGACATAAGAGTCATAATTCTCTGAATTTTGTTTGACAGAAGGCATAATAGTCATAATTTTTTGAATTATGTCTAAAATGAAGTACTTCTTTATTTATTTTCCTAATACTATTATATAAATTTCTAATGACTGTAATTATTATTCAGCTCAGCATGGTAATTTATTATATTTTTTTAAACATTTCATTAAATGCATAATAAAGGATTAAATTATAAATTTAGATTGGTAAATATAGTATGCTAAGTTTTGTTAGCTCACAGTTGTTATTTCTTCTATTTTTTAGGGTCTGGGAAAGAAAAAGAGCATATTCGATAGTAGTTTTCAGAATCCAATCCGAGTCTTTATACTCTATAGGTATTTCTCTCCTAAATTTTTTGTACAAGCATGACTAATTATTTAAACTGATATGCTTAGTGTTTTGATATGTAGCCATATATGTACTATAATATGTGTGTGTGATAAATGAATGAAAATTTGTGGA